TCTCCAAAGAAACTCTAGTTTCATCAATAACGCCATTTTCAAACAGCCCAAAATTTTCCAAGACCTATTCTTACCTCTTACCCAACACGAGACTGCTAAGAACAACTCGCGAGGGGTTGTTGAGCACCCCCAGAAAGATTGGTATCACCGCGGAATAAGAACGAGCATGACGAAGAGATTACCCTGAACAAAAGTCTAACGGCAAACATGGAAAAGCAAACACGAAGGGGTAGTGTCATAATTATTAAGGTATTTATACGTCTTTATGTGCCGCGGCGGTTATTTCTCCATGATACTCGAACGGGGGTGCTCAGCTTCCTCTGCAGTGGTCAGAAAGTCTACACGCCGAGGGTTCGTTATTTAATCAATGCAGCTGTCTGCTCGCTTCATTTTACCCGGGTCCAATGTGTGCCTCGTGTCGCCAGACGTTTCGCCCTTCTGCAAACTGGAACCGCGAATGCGAGCAGCTTATATACGCTGAAACAATATTGTGCAGAACGCTGGAGAACGCTGCGTGCTCGCAACTTGCCAACGAGTTGTTTCCAATTGCCGGCCCCTCGAATTTCGAATGTGGGGAAAACTGACGGGACACCTTCCATTTACAACTGTCCCGCGATACCCTATTGCATCCTAATCGTCCACTCCCAATGTGATTTGAGAAAATTTTATATAAATAAATAACGTATAGTATTTCGGACATTCTGTATCCCCAGCGCTAAATTTTCTGTGTCATCGACTGATATTACGGGGGTCCTGCCCTGTGTGGTTTGTAGCGACCCATCATTCTCGCCCTCGCCACTGGATGGATTTCATCTTCGAGGACTTTCCTGCAAGTTCTCGAAAAACCTCCAATTTCTATATATATATAACTTCACGACCTTCGAATAGTACCCCAGTGTCTAAGGCAGGGCCTGCTAGGGTAGCTTTACCGATGAGTCCGCTAGCAGGCTCGGGACCAAACGCATTCCTTCATTTTCCTACCGTCCCTTCTAGCTATACCACACGTAGGATACCTGTGACCAGCCGCGATCAAATGATGGTGAAGCAGGACCCCCACAGGTTGAAGTCGGTTCTTGGGTCCTCTATGTGGCGGTGGTGTCTAAGTAATTCATGTAGTTGTTAGGTGGGACGAAAGGAAAAGGAAGGGTGCTTTTTGTCTCAGGCCTGCTAGTGATGTCAGACATGTCAACAAGGCTACCTGGCAAGCACTTGTCTTAGACGGGGATGCTATTGACAGATTAGGAAATTCTATATATAGGAGGGTTGACCGTGGACTTGCGAGAATCCTTGAACCTTCCCGAATCCATTTAATGATGAGAGTGAGCATCAGATTGATACCATATAGAAGATCCTTCGAAAATCCTGAGAACAGTTAATAAATTGTGCCCAAGAATTACACGTCCTGCGAATGCAATTTGAAAATCTTTGTCAATCGGTCTATTTCGATGAAATCTAGGTAAGGAACCAAGGGATTGTTGAAGTTACTCGAGAAGTTACCCTTCCTAAATAAGAGTCTGAAAAATGAAATGGGGATGACGGATAATTTTTGGGCGGATTCTTTTTGGAAGATGGAAGAATAATATAGGGAGCATAGACGTCGAATCGTGAGTGGTTTAAGAAGATTTTGAAGGAAATTTTTATTTGGATACCTTGGGAACTGTGTTATGGCGTGATTCTTAGTTTACGTGATTTTGGGGGATTCTGGGGGAATTTTAGGGAAAGTCGAGAAGAGGATATGGAGAGGATTGCGGTAGGGAATGATTTTGACGTTGTTCTTGGGATTTTTCAAATGTCGGGATATTTGAAAAACACTGACTATCTAAAATAACATTTCACGGTAATCCTTGTTATGGTTGTTGAAGGCGACTGTTATTTCAACGTATAACATTTTCATCGTGTACTCGTCTCGGTATTGCACATCCAGCTATATATATATTGTAATAGTGTGGTATTATCGGTTAAAATAATACGTTCTCAGCTTGCAACAACGAGCCTGGTCAGACGAAGTTAAAGTCAACTTTAAGGGTTAAATACATTACTCAAATGTTATCTTTCTTGGAAAAATATATTATTCCATAGTTTTATATATTTCGAATTGATAGTATCTCGATTTCTATTTAGTTAAAAAATTGCTATTATACGTCTAATATAGTGAGAATAAATTCTCGAAAGCTTTAATTAAAAGTTCCATCTTCACGGAAACTATTGTTCGCTATTAATATAATTATAGAAAATAGGAGTTATAGAATTTCTCAAAGCGAGAGTTTCATAATCAAAGTTGTAAATATCCCGAAATCGAAACAAATGATTTTTAATTTAATTCGATCCACCAATTTCGACTGTGGTCAGTTCAGTTCGATTCTAGCAGGCGTGCTTTATAGTTTGAACTATGTTTGATGCGGTTGGATGCAG